TACATCCTCTTCCACCAGCCAATTTCCATAAATAATGGAAACACAGCTGGTCTGTTGTCATTTAATAAATATCTGAGAAAAGGGTCCTAATAGTAAAAATAAAAAATATTTTCTTTTATATGTTCCCCCAGGTAAAATTTCCTCTCAGGAAAAAGAATAATAATTTCAAAACAGAGGTAGAGATATAAAATAACTCCAATAAACTTAGTGAAGATAATGAATCAGATTTCCTAGTCACACCTCAAGGAATGGTTGTTAGTACAATGAGTATCATAGAGTTTATTGTACATCATAATGTGGGAGAACTTTTAAAAGTAGTTTTAAATGAAATGATGGTAGTAACTTGAAGGAGATAAAGGTACAGTATTTTATAATGAAAGCAAAATTTCCTTTATCACAATTGCATGAAATATAAATATTCTGAAAACATTATCAGATGAATAAGCAACTAGTTTGAAAGTCTCCATCCCTGAGCTTTATGGATGTAGAAACTGTTTATTATTATGATCCTTTCTATTCTTTATTTAAATCTCTTTTAAGAACTAAAACCAAGTTTCTTTCTGCCTATTTACAAAACTTTCCTCCTGAATTCCTCTGAAGTACAGTGTATAGATATATATGACAGCTTCAAAAAGTCTTCTCTCAATACTTTATTTTAGCTCCACTAATTCAGCCCCCACCATTTCTTCCTTAGGGTGAAAGGTAAAATGTTTATTCTGAACCTATTTTATTTTTCCTGTGTAAAGTTTGAGACAAAGATCTTCCAGTTTGTGTGGTGATTAGTTTATGGAAGTAATACAACACAGGAGGATGTTTGTTGTTATCCTGCTAAAATCTTTCCCATGGGGTATTTTGAGGAGAAAACACAGCTGTTACAGAGGGAAAAAAAGGAGTTATTTTATAAAATGGGGAGGAAGATGAGGGTGTTCCGCTTATTAATAAAGAAAGTTTGCTTCAGTCTTTCTATCTTGACAGATAGTAACTGCACTAATTGGGGTGAGGGTTCAATAACTATTGAACCATGTGTTGTGTACTTGAAACCAATATAACATTGTATATCAACGATACTCCAATTTAAAAGAAAGTTTGCTTCAAATATGGATGGACAAGCAACACCATTCAAGAGTAGGTTACTGAGAAAATTATTTACAAAGAAAGCAGTTTCTTAAATGGCTCAAATCTTTCTAAAGCGCATTAAAATAGAAATAAGATATTTTAATTTTAGTTTGGCAATCAGTATGAATTTTTATATGACATTGTTTTAATTCTTGACATTCTTTTTACAATATAATGATCCTATTTAACTCTAATAGGAAAATGCTTATATAAATCTAATAATTTATATACTCTTTTAAAAATAATTGATCTTGATTTAATGAGTTCATTTATCGTTATTATTTGAAAACACCAACATGATCAATAGTAAACACCACACAATCAACACTTTCCTTTTTAAAAAATCTGTTCATTTTATTCAATTATTTAAAGTTTATAAGAGCACAAAGCAAAACAAATGATTAACTTTTATTCTCTACCTAGATTCAGGATGCTGGTAAAAATAATGTACTCTGTCCTTAGCACTTTAATTGAATTATTTCAGAAATGCAGTGAAATGGATGGATATTACATTTATTGAGTTAATCACTTTGATATATGCTTTTATCAAGTTTTCCTTAGTTACTTATATCTTTAGGAAGGATAATATTATGATATGCTTCTTTACATTTGTTTAGAAAAGTTACGATATCTGAATATCTCTTCATAATTTTATGTCAGTCTATCCCAATATAGTCAACTGCTGAAATCATTTACTTTAAATCTTTCTTACATTAATCTCTGATCATTCCATCACACTTTTATTCTTTGTCCTATGTTATCCATTTTTTAAAATTTCCTGAGACACAAAGTAGATTTTTAAAATGCAATTGTCTTTCCAATAGTCAATCTTCATCAAAAATAGGTTTTGCCTATGCAACTTGAAAGAACTGTTGTATTCTATTATATTGTAGTGTTTTTAATGGGTCTATATATATTGTTTTTTGTGAGTTCCTTATTGCATGAGTAGCAGTCTTAAATAGTCAAAGTTATTCTTTCCCTTGTCTCTTACTAATTGTCAAGTTGCTATTCATATCCTCCCTTCAGACTTTAATAACATAAAAACCTCTTTGAAAAAAAAATACAAGTCAAGTAGCCATTTATTTAATGTTTTCTTTTTTCCAGTTTTATTGAGATATAATTGACATGTAACACTGTATAAGTTTAAGGTATACAACATAATGATTCAATATATGTATACATTGCAAATGATTACCACAGTAAATTTAGTTGCATTCATCATCATCTCACATAGTTACCATTTTTTTCCTAGATTGACTGCTTTCTGCCTGATAATTTATTTCAGGTTCACTTGAAGATCCTTTTTTCCATCAACCTCCAAAAGCCTGTAAAAAGCTAGGGTAAGAAGAAAAGTTGTCAACTCTTCTTATCATCAACAAATGGCATTAGCAATTATTGTATTTTAGAATTTTAATAACTATACTTATAAAATACTTTGGGACATTATAATTATCAATAATTGTCAGTAAGGTTATTTATGAAAAGATTTTTAAAGCTTGACTTGTTTACAGGCACTTCGAAATTCTATAGTTTTATCATGGCAGAAAGAGTACATAAGTACAGAATACCTAAAATTCACTGCTTCTAAGACTGGTCCTCTGACTATCTATTTAATTTCCAGTGATTCAATGTGCCAACAGCTAACCAATTCCAAACAAAATCACATTATGTTATTGAGAATTATAATGTCACAAATAACTGTAGAGCAAAGGGAAATAGTAGAGTTGAGATAAACAGAAATTGGCCTGATCACTTCTCCATGCATTAGTGACATGGCTTCTCTCCCCTCACTGGTGAATATTCTAGGTCTCTAAAGTACAAATGCTAAGTATCAGTGAAAATCCCATTAGTTTTCTAACTGGACTTGGTGTTTGCTGTAGAATATAATTTGCCCTTTTATTAGTGGGAATTCTGCTTGATATCTAGAAGGTTGATGATTGATATTTCACTTTCTCTGATACAATTTTACATTTTTGTCCTGTTTTTCTATAGGTACTTTGATGCAAAGTTAGAGGATGTCAAATTGAACAACACTAGCTGGCTATCACCTAACTGAAATTTGAACAAAACTTCTAAGATAATAGTACATTGTTGCAGCAGTTTGAAATTTACAATGTAATTTGTATACACAAAAGAGTTACAACTCTCTTGTCAGACTTTAGATGAATTATTACAACAAGGCAATGTTATCCAAGAAAGGATGGATTTATTTTCTTGAATGTACCTTTGATGATCTTCACTTAATATGTGCATCTCTTAAAGACTAGAACTTTCCATTTTTCTTGTAGTTCTCTAGACACAAAGATTTTAGCTGCTTTGAATATGAAGGTGACCCATACTGATTTTTTGCTTCACAGAATTACCAGCCATAAATGTGCCAACTAACACACATTTAGTCCCTCCATTTGATACTTACACTTGTCTGTCAGCCTTACATATATGCACTTGCCATACACTTTTTCATACTCATCACCGTTACTCTCTCTCTCTCTCTCACTCTTTCTCTACAGTGGAGAAATCTAGATAAGCTAGAGAGACAAAGATATCTTTGAAATTGCAATGATTTAGTCTTCTAATAGCCAGGGGCATAAAGGCCGTAAGTGAGAAAACATGACATGGCCATGGAATTGGTGAGATAAAGATCAGGGAAAGGGAAGCCCTAGAATATTAGATCTGTGGAGTCAATTCTAAGAATCAGCAGACCTGATAACCAAGTCAGTTGTCCTCTTTAGTCTTTCACCTTCTTATTTATTTCTCTGACCCATCAGGAGAAATGGGTTCTGGGCATCACCTTAGGCATCCATAGCCTGGATTTTTGCCCTGGGATCTGGCCCTGGACCACCTGATTACTTATATTATCTGTTACTTTTGCATATGTAACAGTCAAGTCCACAGGTAAAATGAATGTTCTGGCTCTTCATAAACTCTTTGTCATGTCTGGAGTCCCTCTGGAGAACTTACAGAGATCCCTGTGGAGATTCAAACAGAGCAGTTTAGGAAAATGCATGATAAGAACGTGGGAGTTTCTTCCTGTGCTTACTAATAGTTGGTTAGATTGATTGACTAGATGGCTTCAGCAGCTTTCTGACAATAATTGAGAAATTTCTCCAAATGATCATGTCACTGATTTAATGAAGCTGTTCTCAAATGAATGGCGACTAACAAAAAGTGCTGAAGACTCATAGCATCAGGAAGCTGTTCTCTGCTTGTGAAACACCGTGTCTCACAATTGAAGTACATTTCTTATTTGTTAGCCTTTAAAATAGACTCTTGACAAGGGAATAGAGACTTATTTTGTGAATAATCAGTTGAGAGCATGTTAGTTTGGACAGATTATCACTTTTTGTCAAAGTCTACACAATCTGTTCCACACTCTAATTACCAATAAAAGAAGGACCTAATTGGCAATTGCATCATAAAAATGTTAGATGTGATTTGAATGCATTTGTTTGCTTTTTATTTAAAGAAATTTCAGTGATGCTTCTGTTATACATTTTTCAGTATTTTGACATAGATCATAATAAAAATACTCAAATAGGTATATAGCAAACAAATATGCAGTTTCCAAAGAGACAATATATGGACCTAAAAATGGTGTTATTAACCATTAGCTTAATAATTGAATAATGAGAACCTATGTAATTAGGTATTTTAAAATAGCATTTAAAATTTTTTAATCCAGGTTACCTAAGAGATTATATCAGTAAATTTACAAACTACTATATTTCAAGAAGAATCAATCAATTTACATTAGAGGTGGGGCATTTGGGAGGTAATTATGATTAGGTTATGTCATGAGGATGGAGCTCTCTTACATGGAATAAGTGCCCTTATAAGAGTCTGAAAAGAGGTTGCTTTATCTTTCTGTTTTCTACCATATTAAGATACAAGGATATGTCAGCAATTTGCAGTCCAGGAGAGAGCTCACCAGAACTTGACCATGCTGTCGTCCTGATCTCGGCATCCAGGCTCCAGAAATGTGAGAATAAATTTCTATTGTTTATAAACTACACAGTTTATGGTACTTTATTATATAGCAGCCAAAACTAAGACACTGAGCATGTGAATTTGTAGCATTGTAGAGCTACCTTAAGGCTCCATGAGGAAAACAAACCCAGACATAGAGAGTACAGATACCTGATGCTCTTTGAAATCTTGGGCCACTCAGTGTTGAGAACCAAATTTCACCTGAATTTATCAATTATGTAATTATGTAATTATATTGATTATGCAGGTTTTATTTTAGTTCATTAGCTTGCAACTGAATGGGTTCTTATTAATCCTGTATTAAATAAGACTCATTAGTTTAGAAATAAATTATTCAAGCCTATTGCACAAATCATTCATATAAAGTTAGTTATATATCATTAAGAGTTTAGAATGAAAAGTAAAGATATTTTTATACTGACTTACTTGCTATTCATTATGAGGATAATAATACTATTATTGGGAACTGTCATTTGGTTCCAATTACCATTATGTCCTTGGCAATATGAAGGGTTTCTGATATGAATATATTAATATTAATATATTAATAAATGTATTATTTCATTTAATCTCTTACATACAATTCTCAATTTTATTTTTTAAATTTGCTTTTAATTATTTAGCTTATTTTATTTAAAAATATTTCAGGTGTAGATATATATATGTATATATATATGTACTGGAAATCCATTCTTATGCCATATTTACTTCAAATATTTTAAAAATAAAACATAAATGTCACAGGTAAAATGGAGAGTTCTTTCTCCAATCTCACTTCATCTCTAACCAAAGGTAATCCTCTCAATCAGTGTTTATCCTTTCCATGTGTGATTTTATACTTTAGTCACATATTTATATCTAATAATTGTTCCATAATTGAATTATTTGTATTTTTAAACACTATAAAATTGTATCATATTATACTGACCTTTCTATAACTTAGCTTTTTCTTCCCCTCTTCATTATATTTTGGAGACTTGTTTACATCTTAGTTTATTCCTTTAAAACTGCCATAGGGAGATTTATTTTATGTATGTCATGTTCCACAATTTATCTTGAACTATTTTTTTATGCCAGCCTTACCTATATGCTGCATACTGAAAAGATTATACAAGAAAGTGAAATTACAAGCCAAACTCATTAAATAATTAGATGAAAAACCCTAAAGAAGATATTAGGAATCATATTTATCAGTATATGAATAGGATAAAACATCGTGGAAAAGTTGGATTGATTATAGCAATACAGGATTGTCTTGATATTTTTGAAAAAAAAAACAAAGTAATTCACATTTTAGCAAAATAAAGAAGGGAAACAATCAAATCATATCAATAGAATAAAAATCAGCACATGAATTTTGTGATCCATTCTGGGGGAAAAAATTAAACTTTGCATTTATTTCTGACATGAGACACATTGGATGCTAGTACCAATTATTTATATTTTATTTCCTGTCATTAAAGTATGCAAAATACAGAAATATATTTTATAAGGATATTCATGCAAGAAATAAAAAGTTATTATTTTCAGAGGATATAATTTAGTTCATAAAATTTTTTAAAGCAAGTAAGAATGAAAGAATAGGGTTACGATGACTAAAAAAGTTGCTAGGTACCAGATCAATATGCAAAACTCATTGACACTTCTGTATTTTCTGTATATTACACAAACACAATAAAGTAAATATATATGTATCATCTAAAATGACTCCACCAAAATGAAATATATATGAACAAAACTAATAAATAATACCTAAAACATCTTCCAGGAAACTACAAAGTATTACTAAAAGATAAGTTAAAAGACTAAGTAAATGAAAGGAGATTCCTTGTACATGAACTGGAAGATAACATAAAGATGTTGGTCTTCATAAACTGATTCATAGATTCAAAGACATAATCCAAATAAAAAATCTCTACAGGTTTTATGTGAAGATATGTGTGTAACCTGAAAAGCTAACTCTAAAATACACATAGAAACTCAAAGGGCCAACTATAGCAAAGAGTCTCATGAAGAAGAAAAAAGGGTAGTGCAATAAATTTGATGAAGAGATTAATGTAGCAGAATTGAGAGTAAGGAAACAGCCCTGCACACACATAGACATTTGATTTATGACCTAAGGATTGCTGCAGACAGTAGGTCAAGAACACTGTTATTACTACATAGTGCCAGACAATCAGATATCTATGGAAAAGGAAAGAAACAAAACAAAAGTTTGATCTTCACTAGATAATAAACAAAAAATTATGTTAGGTTCGAGAACAGGGAGGTTGACTAAATACAAAAAGCAAAGCTACTGAGATACTGTAAAGAATATTGGAGGTTATTTCCATGACCTTTGGAACGGAAGGATTTCTTAATTAGGATCTTACTGGAAATGAAAGGTGGATAAATTGTACTACATGAAATAAAAAATTTTTTTTCAAAATCTATTGAAGGAATGGGAAAAAAAATATTTACAACCTATGTATCCATGGTAGGTGAACTCCTCCTCCTCTACTACATTTCCATTAAGAATAAACAGAAAAAATGTGTTAGAGTCATAATGGATGCTTACAAAAGAGGATATCCAACTGGTCATTAGTAAGAAGGAAAAGAAAAGCTAAAACTGTAACGAGGTGCCGCTACAACACTCACCAGAAGAGATAAAATTAAAAAGTCTGGTGAATGGCAAATGTTTATAAGGAAGTATAGCATGAGGAGCCCACATAAACCGCTGATATGTGAGAAGAGTTTAGCACCATTAACTGTAGTTGAAGCTGGAGGTGTTCTAGAGCCATAGCCATATAACCAACAGAAGTTCGTGTACATATGCACCAAGAATGAGTAAAAGTATTGTTCAATAGCAGCAGTATGCACAACCAGCGTAAACTGAGTTGTTCATGAATATTATTATGGACAGACAGATTTTTTTAATAAAATGGAATAATATTTATCAATGAAAATGAATAGATAAGTACTTCTACATAAAATCAATGTTGAGAAAAGCTAGGCAAAAAATAAAAAATATTACGCAACTCTATGTTTAATGTTCAGAATGAGGAGAAACTCAACTACAGTGTTTAGACACATACTTGTCTAAAGAACCAGTTGTTGGCTTTATATAGAGGCGTAGGGGAGCATTTCTATAAAAGTCAGGGTATTAGGATGGGAATGGAAGATTAAGCTGTTTAGATAGGAGTGGGCTTTTGAGGGACTTTTTGCTTCTCTTTCTCTTGATAGGGTTAACTAGTATGCAGAATTCATTTTTTGACAAAGCATTGGAAAAAATTTAAAAAAATACACAGTCTTAAATTTTATTCCCTAACAAAATATCCTTTAGTTATCTGAACTAAAGGGCATCATGCACCTGGAAATAGAATGAATATTTCAGGTAGGAATTCTAATGATGTAATACAGTTCAGTTTTTTTTTCTTTTAGTATAGAAACACATGTATGATTGAAGTGATGATTTCCATGTCCCTCTCACTTACAACTTGTTAATAACCTGCTGAGCAGGAGCCTTAGGCAATCTTTTGCTTTTACTAAGTCAGTCATTAAGAGAGGAAACTGTAAATGACCAGCAGGGAGTAAATTGCCCTTAGTTATAAATGAAAATGTGTTAACTTCACTTGACTAATAAAATTACTTTTGGTACTAAGCCACAAAATAGGAAAAAGCTGCAGTTGCTACTGGGTACCCTTGAAGAAAAAGAAGATTTAAGGTACTTTGATGCTTCTGGATTTGAAACATCCAAATTGTGTCTCAATAATTATATTTCAAAAGGCTAGGAAGTCCTTTGTCTTTGGAAAATCATAAATAATTTTGAAAAGCATAGGAATTGTAGTAAAATAGTGTATAAAAATTTTAACTCCTTTTAGTAGGCAGATTTAAAAAAATAAAACCCAGTTTTATTCAGAAAAACATGCCTCAGTTTATTGACATTTCTTCAAGCAAAATATTGACATTAAAAACTATGTTTTCAAATGCACACATTACATTTATATATGCTACAAACTGATGCAATGTGCTAGTATTCTTAAACATTCCTGCTTACCTCTCTACGTTTGAGTCTTAGTTGGAAAAACAGGCCCCTCCTTCTCATTTTTCTGCTTTTTCACCTGTTTATGGGGTGGCCTAGTTTTAATGCCACCTATTCCAGGAATCTTCCCCCTTTCTCAGTCTGAATGAATAATTCCATCCTTTGCTCTTGTTTTCACTTCCACTTCCACTATATTAAACAATCACAGTCAGCCAATTTTTGATTTATCCATTTTATGGCACTAGATTGTAAAATTTATTAAGGACAGGGACAGTTTTCCTCTACCTTGTATGTCATTAGGACACTAACTTAGTATCTCAGAAGCATGGCAAATATTTGTTGAACAGAACTAAGTTTAAGGTAAAGAAGACTAAAGTACAAGATGGAGGGGAAATTTCATATTTTCTCTTCCCAAGGTAAAATCATTTTCAGCTCACGTGGGAATGCATCCTGCTTAGTGAGAAAGCTGGCTCCATCAGTTTAAAGGGCCCACGTTTAGAGGTTTATTATTTGTATGATTATGATGTCCAAGCCAGTGCTTTAACAAGCTGCAGTACCGAATATACACGATTAAATTCATATTTATTATTCATCAGATGCTTCTGCCATTTTAATAGCTAACATTTATTGAACATTATGTGCCAGGCTGCCTGATAAGCACTTTAGTTGCTTTACTTTTTTTTATAGTCGTATCACAGACCTGAGGTTGTACTATTTGTTTCCATTTTATAAATGAGGAATAGAAACTTCAAGGCACTAATAACTGGCACAAAGTAGCTGAGTTACTAATGGGCAGGATACAGCAATAGGTAAGGATGTGACCTAGTTTGACATCTTTAGAAACCTATTCCACTCCCAATACCTTGTGTAGTGTGAATGCTTTAAAATGTCATGATAAGCTCTTTTTACAAACATGCTGAAAATCCTTCCAAATGACTTTTGCCTAGACATCAATATTTCTGATTTATTTT